CGGTGCTCGGCGGGACGAGGGGACGTGGCCGCGTGGGGCAGCCCTCAGCCGTAAGGGAGGAGGAGCGTCTCCCCCGCTTCCCCCGGTGTTGGCACTTGCTAGAGATGATGACAGATCAGCGGTTTCGTGCGGCGAAGTGCCGGACATGGCTGTCCCTCAGTGTTTACAGGGCCAGAGGGTTTGTTTTGGCTGGTTGCGCAAGGAGGATGTTTCTTATCAGGGGTGCCTCCGGCCTCTGGACACCATACCAGTGCATGGCCTCCTTGGAGGAGGCCACCACACCAGTGAACCCAGTGCTATGGGTCCCGCTGACTAGAGCTCGGCTTGTGGGGGGGGTCAGCCTGCCTTGGGGGGGCTCCGCCGTGGCCGAGGAGGACACTGCTGGTTGTTCCTGCTCCATGCTGCCCTGTTTGCCCCTCTGAGCTGGCATGATTTAGAGTTTTTATTATAGCTGCTCCCCTCCCACGCAGTCTCTTGGCTTGCCAGGGTGTGTAAAAGCAATGTTTGCTAGGCACCAGCTGGTCTCCAGTTAGTACCTCTGGTTGTCTCCGAGTCTGACATACCTGGTGCCATGCGTCAGGAGAAAGGTGTGGTGTCTCCGTTGTGGAGCTGCTGTGGCTGTGGCACATGCTTCAGCCCCACAGTAAAGGTCACACTGGTGCAGATCCACAGTTGTGCTGTTTAGGCAGGACCTCTGCCCACCTTGGTGTACGCAACAGAGGGAGCACGCCCTGGCGTCTGCGAAACTGTGGGATGTGTTTTCTTGTACGAGCAGTACATGTGTGGCTGAAGCCTCATCTGCTCACCGATGATGGCTTCTCGTTGGGTTATAGGTACTGGTTTCTCTCTGCTTTGAGGTGGGATGGGCACCGCAGTATGCCTGTTCTCTTTGTTCTCGTAGGTGCAACTGTCCTCTTAAGACACTGAGGTGATTCTGGGCTCCTCACAGGTGTGGTACAAGGAGAGATGACATAGTTAAGGAGTAGATGCCTGAAGGACTTCCTTTCAGTCTTAAATACTGCTTTTCAATTACAAATATTGCAAGAAGTTGTATTTGCTAAAAAGCACATCAAAACTTCAAAGGTTCCCTGATTTAGCTTTTCTCTTAAAACAAGAAGTGCAGTTTAATTACTCCATGAATATTCGGTTCCTTCATAAACTGATTTGAAGCAGTTGTAACATGGGTCATATGATCTCGACTAAAGCTTTAATTTGTTTCACTGGCACGTGACATGTCATTCAGTCCCAAATTTAGGGACAACGCTGGCCTGTCATGTGTCTCAGCATAGGATCAACCCAATGTACAAGCTCAGTGGCCTCGGTCATTTACTTTGGATGGTGAGTTGGTTTGGTCTGGCACATAAGCCTGTGCACAGAGACACACAAACACAGACAGACAGTGTTCAAAAGAAGTGCAGCTCTGGCCTGGAATCAACTGTAGAGAGTATTGTCCTTCTCCTCGATCTATCCAGGTCCAAAGTCTGATTCATCCTGTGACAGTATTTTGTTTGTCACAAGGTAAAGCAAAAGCAATCATGTGAGGGTTACACGCAAACGGGCTGCTAGATGAGAGGGACTGTTGAGGTCACTCAGCCAGGCATTAATATTTATTTGGATGTGATGAAGAAGGTATTTTAAGCCTGTGGGAACTTTCAGTTGTTCCACAGAAGGATATTGTCCAGACCCCCCATTTCTTGGTAAGTGCATCTGTGCTGAATAGCTGGTCACTCATGAACACAAGCATCTGAGTAGAGCCCAGGTTGCTGGGCAAAACTTGTTTTAGCTAGCTGTCCCTTCAGGACAGCCTTCCCAGTGCCGAAGAGCACAGCTCCAGCGCCGTGCTCCAGACGTGCTCTGCTTCTGTCCTTCCTACCTCCAATGGCTGTGTTTAAGTTTGGGCTGGGGTTTGCAGAGCCAAGTGTCTCAAGCAAAGTTATGGCCTCACCAATGCTGGAGGCAAGGCTGCAGTGTGAGCTGGACACCTCTACGCACCTGATTATCTTTGTCCAGCTGCTTGAAGACTACACATGAGTATCTTCTAGAACTGACCTATACCCCTCACGCAGGTGCACTGGAACAAACTTTGCCCTCCCTTGTTCACAGTGCCCCCCTGCAAGGGGAACTAAAAGAAATAGATGTGATTGAACTTTTAAGATCAGACTTAGCCAGATGATGCTTATCCTTTGGTGTCAAGCATTTCCAAATAACAGAATACATGGCAAACTAGCTTCCTCTCTCCCCTATCACCGGTATTCACGTTGGCTCAAATTTGAGTGACATGCCAATGACCAGACTTCACAAAGGTCACAAGCATGTGGTGGCTGCGGCTTTGCAGTTTGCATTGTTTGTTTACTGATTTCCTCAATGCGTGAAGAATTGAAGAAGTGCATGTATTAATTGTGGAGGTCAGGCTTTCTGGGAGCACTTGCTAAGCTTTCCATCAAAAAATCTTAAAAAACAAACAAATCACTGATCTTTGAAGGTGGTATGTTGCTTGTGTGTCAGGGCATGGAAAAAAGGAAACATGTAATGAAGTTCAAAGCTCAGAACATAAGGAAACTTTTGAGAGATGGCACCAGCACTGGTCAAAGGGCAAAGACACCTTCAGTTACCTTCAGCAACAGAAATTTTCAAACAAAGCGTCCTGCACTTCAAGGAATTATGCATGACTTATGTGGCAAAACTTGGTATTCACTGATTGCTACAATTGCATTCTCAGATAACTTTGTTGCTGAAAAAAAAAAAAAAGCATTTTTTAATTTTATATATGCACACACACAAATCATGAATGCTATAAACATTTTTTTCTAGCAAATTCTTTTGATGAAGATGAAGTTGGAGAGATTTTGGAGGTCTGGATAGTCACATTTCTATGCTGAAAAAAATAGTAGTGTTTTAGTAAATATTATTGCCATGTAAAACACAATTTTAATTGCCTTCTAAGAAGTTAAGTAGCTTTTTAAATTGAGCTGACTTTAATTTTCCATTATAACAATCTACTGAGGTCATGGAGAACCTTAGTCCTCTACAAATCATTTGTGAATTACAGTGTGACAGTAAGAAGAACTGTATCTACTTATATTCAACTCATGTTTCCAAGGCTATCTTGATAACAGTGGTTAACAAAAATTAAGAAAAGAAACCTAAAAAGGGAAGAGAGAATCACAGAATCACAGGATTGTAGCATGGTAAGGGTTGGAAGGGACCTTCAGAGATCATCTAGTCCAACCCCCCTGACAAAGCAGGTTCACCTAGAGCAGGTTGGACAGGGTCGCGTCCAGGTGGGTTTTGAGTATCTCCAGAGAAGGAGACTCCATAACCTCTCTGGGCAGCCTGTGCCAGTGCTCTGAGAGTGCAGGAGCACACTTGCTGCAGAGAGTCAGTTTTATACAAAATGCAGTTCTGCAGAAACCTTGTGCCCATGGGCATGGCAAACGGAGATACATGAAGGAAGTCCTGCAAGTAGTACTGCTGGGGCAAAGCAGAATGGAGTAAGCTTCATAATTCTGCAGAGGCATGCCTGGGTTTAGATCTAACTGTTTTGTTTTCATTATAACTGAGTTGATTGCTGAAGCTTGAATGCATGCAAGCCCTGACAACAGAGTAGTAATGAAATTTGAAAATTTAAATATGAGACTGAAAGAAAACATGCTAAGGAAAATTTATGCAAAAAATCTAACCACACAGTTTTGAAAAGACAAGGAGAGACTGTTACCATCATACAACCCAGAGAAAACCTGTGCAGGTTGCATGTCATTACTTTTCATCCCATGTGGATCATCACTGGTTTTCAGGGCCTAAAATGGCATCTCTGACTATTTACACAACTAAAGGCATCTGCCCCAGCAAGTGGTTGCAGCCCAAGTAGCACAGGGAGGCTCACACCTTCACCACTCTCTCCCCCCGCTGGCCCCATCCGCACCACGTAGCTTTTGGTCTGAGCCTCCTCTTGCCCCACAGGGTAACTGAAAGCCACAGTTGATTGTAAACAGTAACATTTTTGTCTTTTTGCACTCCCCAGTATTTGAAACAATGTGACTGACTTCATCTGGTGTGGAAGAAGGTGCTTGAAAGGTAATACATATGGGCAAGGACATCCCACTGACCTGGTATCACTGAAAATAGGAGCGTTGTTCTGAACCCCTCTGTCACAGCGCAAGCACTACTGCTGGCTGTCATCTCCATGCCATATGGCACTTATTACTGTTCTTAAGTGCTATGTTGAAAATTTGTGCTTGTTTGAGTCCTCAGACACGTGTAAGGCATCAGGATATACTTATTTTCTCTGAATTAAATAATCTTAACAGAACTGATATTGTTGCTGGCCTCTCATCACGCACACCACGTAACAGCAACCATTTCCAAGTGGCTTATTCAGTATTTTTGCTTTTCAGTTATTTCCCTCTCATACTCATGTATTTGCAAGTCCTCAGTGCTCATCTCTGATTATTTCATATCTCAGATTTGGATATTTCCACTGAAAGCCCTTCACCTGGTGGCTTATCTGTTTAGATGACTCGGTGGAGGAGAATTCTGCAGCTCCCCTCAGGTTGGGTTCAGGTGCAGCATGTGTGGACAGCCCATTGCCATTTCCTCCAGTCCAAAACAAAGCTACAGGGAGCTGATAGACCTGTCGTGGATGGCTTTCAGGCTT